TATAAAATATACTGCTACAAAAATTTGCAAATTGTACTTAAAAATGGTTAGGTTTATTCATTCATTAACTCATTCATTTGTCCATCAAACCCTTGTTACATATCTTCTATGTATTCACCTCTGTACATGATTTTCTTTCCTCAGGGAATTTACGTTAGGTTTTGGTTAGGTAGACAAACAGAAATAAATGAATATAACTAGATACGGCAACTAAAGTGACAGGGTTCATTTTGATAGCATGGAAGAAGTCAATCTAACCTGGCTTATTTCTTGAGAAAGAGAGATCAGTAGAGGCTTCCTAGAAGAGATGGAGCCTGGGTTGAATCAAAATATCAGTAAAAAAGAGTTTGGGTGGAATGCCAGGCCAAGAGGGCAGCAGAAATTGTTATGCATAGAAATTTAAACCAGTTTAGAATGGTGATGCAAGCAGAACGTACACAAGAGGCAAGGGTGAGAGATGAGTTTAGAGAAATTGGTCAGACTATGGAAAGCATTGGCCTTTACCTTAAGGAGTTTGGTTTATATCCTATACATGTTGAGAAGTAAGTAAAGGGTTATAAGCAGGGAACAAGATATACAGATTGCAATGTAAATTGATGTCTCCATGGTACATGGAGGATAAGTTGGATGAGGTGAATAGAGAGTAGTAGGGGTGAAGAAAGTTCCATACCCAGAAAAACATTCAGATTCTGGTCCGATATCTCTGTCAGGAGGGGAAGATCAGGGCAATGCTAGTTAGGAACTAGAGCTGTAACAGATTCGGGACATATTTGGCATATAAAACCAGCAGGATTTGGTGATTGATTGGATATTGGATGTAAGAGAAAGGAAGGAGCCCAGGACTACCACGTGGATATCAGCAGTGAATTGAAAACCACAGGAGCAGGAGCTGACTTGGCAGGTAATGATTTTGAGAGGCCTGTGAAATGTTTAAATACAGATATCCTATAGATTTTTAAAATGGGGGTGGGAACCTGAAACAGGGGAAAAGCCTGTCTAGAAAGGAATGCTTAGTAATAATTAGCATACATGTATGTGTTCAAGTCAGAACAGTTTTTGAGGTCATACAAAAAGAGTATTTAGGGTGAGGAGGAAAAGGGGCCAACTCCAAAACATTCCGAAACAACAAAATTAAGGGAGAGAATTCAGAATTCAGTGGTGTGCTGAAAGCAGCCCATACCAATTCTCAATGTTAAACTGTCAGAAATTCCTGTTAGTCTGTTATTAAAAGCAGCCATTATTAAATATTTGACTATATAAACTTAGAATTCTATAACTTACTTTAAAGAAAGGTAATAAATACTAAAACATATCACTTCCTAGTTATTTTACTATATTTTACTATTATTTATGCTCTTTGGGCAATATTTGTCTATCCTGTCTGAACGGTAGAAGTATGGCATACCGTGGGGCTATCATGCATCTCTTCTTTCTGGACGGTGGTCTATTCTCTCCGGATTATTCTCTCTTGACAGTAGTAATATGCTTTACTATTGGACTACTGTGCAACTTTTCTTTCTGGATGCTGGTCTATTCTATCTGGCCTATTGTATCCGGATGGTGGGAGTATGTCACATTGTTTAACTACTGTGAATCTCTTCTTAACTGCGCATTTAGCAAATTCGCATCAGTAGTTTGAAATCAGTGATGGTGGGAATCTTTACACTATAAAAATCTCCAAGCACTACAAATGAGAACTTCTTGATTTTCTAGAGTAGAATTAAGAAGATGATGGAGGAAATGCTAATAAACCAGATAAACAGTCAAGGTGTATTGTGTTTGTAGCCATTACACTGAATAGCACAAAAATTTTAAAAAATCCTTTCATTATTGAAATTCTGTTTTCTGATTTGCAAATAATTGCTTACATCACTGATAAATGAGTATCTGACATATAGCTTCTTCATTTCATTTTTACTTCACTAACTAACAAAAATACCAAGCAATCTTCATATTAAAACTATACTTGTTTATTAGCTGCAAAAATAGGTTGCCTATACATGCAAAAGTTTGGCAAAATTCAAAAAAAGCATTTTTTCATAAACAATTTGATATACAGAATATTCAATAAAAATTTGTAATATTTTATTATTTGTAAATTGTGTGTCATATATCCTTAATATCAGTAAAATTTATAACAAATGATGTAAGTATGCATGTTTTATTTTCCTTGGAGAACCAGTTTATAAAAAGATTTACCTATACATCACTAGGACAGGTAGAGGAGAAAACTTTGAAGTAGATGAAATGAGAGATGAACAAGAAGAACCAAGAGGATGCAGTAAAAGAGAAACCAAAGAGTAAAAAGTTTTACAAGCAGTGATAAACAGAGCTATGAACGTAAGAGGCCCAGAAAGAGAATGATTGAAAAATTAAATTTAAATCAATTTAAAGTTTATTAAAGCAACTAGAATTACCCTGAAGAAAAGAGAGACTCTTTAAAACTAACTACAATGAATTCCTCCTCATAAAATTTTAGATGAAAAACCTCATTTTAGATGAAGGCAGGAGGTGGGAAAGTAATAATGGGCAGCACTTTTTCGATACCTGTTTCAGAAGTTTGAAATGTAGGTATTTCTAAAAAATTGATTTCCTTTTCTGCAAAACAATATAGCTCATTAACAAGTATTGAGCCTTTCAAGGAAAACTTCAGATAATTGTAAGATCTATGTTCTAAAACAACAAAACTAGAATCCTTTTGACAAGATGCACCTGGTAGATAATGTTTTGTAATGGATCTTTTTATGTTTCTGAAGTCTAATTAGTGCATTTATCCAGTTGATATGAGGTTATTTTCTAGCACTTTAATTTCCAGCTCTATAGAAATACAGCAAACAAGGTGTTTCCCTCTCCCCCTACAATGTCTCTGGTGTTTTTGTTATCATGCATATTTTATGTGTTCCTGTTCTTTCTCTCTGGAAGTTTCTAAGTTCCCAGAAGGCTCAAACTGAGTCTCTAATGCTTGCTGTCTGTGCTTACGGTACTCATCGTTGTCCTCTACTTGGCTTAATAGGTCATTTATAGTCGATTTTTAAAAGACTTGATTCCCCAAAGAGAGTTATATAATCTTCTAAGCAGTTAGCCATAATTTGAAAGGTCTCATCTCTGTGAATTCTATACTTTACATAAAAATTGGATGAAAAAGAAAAAAAAAAAGGTGATGGAAAATCTACACATAGCTTCATTTATACAATGTTAATTACAGTGAACATGATCTCAGATCTGAAATTATTTATCATCCTGTACTTAAATAATTATTATCTAAATACATTTAGTTAAGAGAGAACATTCAATTAAATGATATAAAAACAGAGTAAGAGGGTAGGGTCAAAAATTAACTCTAAGTTAATCTTTTTCCAGGCAAAAAAAAATACCAGAAAGAGTGAAAAAATAAGATGAATTTTTTAATATTAACTTAGTGCTCTAGAGTTTGTCTTAAACTTAAAAACAATGATCACATACAAGAAAGAATCTATCTTTCTCAGGTACAACTTATTGGATAAGAAAGTTATCCCTTTGGTTAAGAAGATTTTACTCTCTGGGATTTACTTTTGTCAATCTTAAAGTTGAAGGGAAACATTGTTCTTATGATTGAGGAAATAAAAACACTAAAAATCCTAATTAGAAAAGTTAGTAAACTTTCAATCTGAAATGAAGTTTCATAAATATTGCCCTCAGGGTTTATCACACCTCAGAGAGTTTCTTTCTGTTATTTTGAGGCAAGAGTGATGGAGCGTCTGTCTGGTTTTCGTGCAAAGGTATATCCCAAGAGATTTCCAACCAAGCTGGTTAGCAATGCTATCACACCTTCTCTTTAAAAGGACTATTAATTAAACGTAAACATAACAGGGAATCTCTCAAACATTTTAATGGGTCCCAGTGAGCAAATGCTATTTCTTTTGGGTGGTTTCACTAATGTGCTCTCATGGTGCATTACATAAAGTCTATGCTGAGTTTCATCATGTTAAACCAACGCTCTCAAAAAAAAAAAAAAAAGAAAAGAAAAGAAAAAAGAAACCATTGACCATTTCAAAGACAGACTATTCATTAAAAACTATAACAGCATGATCAATATAATTAATGTAAAAATTGATTATGAAAACAAGCTTCCTTCACCATTCCTTAATGTCTAAAATAACTAAAACAAATATTTGTTAACATTATCTTTCCAAAGAAAGAAAAAATAAAAGTCACAAAGGAGTTGGTTATTGTGTTACTAAAGTTAGAATTAATGATTAGTTATTTTACAGGAAGTGGGTGAATACAAAACATTTTGAAAGGAAGATGATTTGGCTCCTCCTACCAAGTTAACAGAAAAGTACATTATTATTATTATCATTATTATTTTTTGAGACGGAGTCTCACTTGTTTGCCAGGCTGGAGTGCAGTGGCACGATCTCAGCTCACTGCAACCTCCGCCTCCTGGGTTCAAGCGATTCTCCTGCCTCGGCCTCTTGAGTAGCTGGGACTACAGGTGCTCACCACTAGGCCCAGCTAATTTTTGTATTTTTAGTAGAGACGGAGTTTCACCATGTTGGCCAGGATGGTCTCGATCTCTTGACCTTGTGAAAAAGGTTATTTTTCTCTAATCCTGATTATGTAATTTACTAATTTGGTAATCTAAAAGCAGCACAATATAAAACCACATAGACCCAAAGAATCATGTCATGTTCATAATTATATAGGTTGTCAAGTCATGTAGAACCAAGGATAGTAAAGAACAGGGCAAGATAGAAGGAGTCCGAAGTCTTGAAATACAAAGTAAAAGACATGGAACTAAGGAACAACCTGGCCTAAGAGGGAGGAGAAAAGATGAATAAGAGGAACCAGATGCAATCAATGAAATACATTAGTAAAGTGATAGTTATGAAGCTGAAATGAATCAACAAATATGAGACAATGAACAACAAAATCATTTTAACATTTGTCTTCAGTAAAAACATGCTACTCGGATTTAATTGTTTTTCATACTTTCTTTAACTTTTTTTTTAACTTTTCAGGTAACAGAGATCTCTGGAGGTGAAACATTGCTCTGAATTGGTATTGATTCTAGTTCAGCTCTTGTAGACCAATTACCAACTTGTAAGTAAACATGTTCATGATTCTTCATTCTGACAAGCCCATACTTCTCAGTCTTCATGTGGACACTATGCATTTCCAGTTTTTGAGCACTCCATGTTCAATGCATCAACAAATTGCTTCAGCTCTAACTTCAAACTATACTCAGAATGTCCCACCCTCACTATACAAAACTCTACCATACTAGTCTAAGCTCCCATCACCTCTCACCTGGATTTATGCAGAAACTCCAAGAAATCTCCCAGCTTCTGCCATTGCTATTCGCCCTTCCACTCTTAAGATTGCATATTGTGAGATTTTAAAATCATATCCTTATAATGTTCTTGAAATGTCTTATATTCTGGCCTCTACTACATCTTTGATCTACACTTTTTAAAAATAATATCATTTGTTTTGTTTGTTTGTTTGTTTGTTTGTTGGAGACAGAGTCTTCCTCTGTCATTCAGGCTGGAGTGCAGCGGCACAATCTTGGCTCACTGCAACCTCTGCCTCCTGGATTTAAGTGATTCTCATGCCTCAGCCTTCCAAGTAGCAGGGATTATAGGCATGTACCACCATGATCAACTAACTTTTTTTTCATTTTCAGTAAAAATGCAGTTTCGCTATGTTGGCCAGGCTGGTCTTGAACTCCTGGCCTCAAGTGATCGCCCACCTCGGCCTCCCAAAGTACTGGAATTATAGGTGTGAGCCACTTCACTTAGCCTCTGACCTTAACTTTTAATACTCTTCTCATTTCTCATTATTCTCCATCTATATTGGCCCCTTGGTTTTTCCCAAATGTTTTGCATATCCTCACCTTGGGGCATGTGACTTCATTACTCTACCTAAAATACTTTTCCTCCATATATTTGCATGCCCCCCTTCAATTTTCTTTATGTCACAGAAGAAACATCACCTTTATAGGTAGGCTTTCTCTGATCAATCATTCATTCATAGCATATTTATGTGCTAGTAAGTTTTTCCCCCTCACTCTTGGTATTCCTCTTTTCCATATACCTTCTCCATAAGCACTTTTCACTTATCTGACCTGCTACATCTTGATATGTTTGTTCAGCGAGGGGCATTGTTTTGTCCACAGCTCTGTCTCCCTCCAGTGCCTGGAACTGGACCTGGCACACAGGTATTTAATAATTATTTGTTTACTGGAATAAAGAATGATTATGTGAATACATGGTTGAAAGGCTAAACAAATTGGCTGCTTCGTTGAATTTATTAGGCTACAGATCCAGAGACCCTATGAAGTCTCTACTGGAGCACATAAAAGGGATGTGACTCAGAGACCAGTACTCCCTCAGTAAATTTCAGTGGTCCAAGCCCAGGTTCATCGGAAAATGTGTTTCCATAATATTTCTTCTACACTGGCCTCAATTTGGAAGCAATGAACACTCTCAAAGTAATCACAAAAGTATTTTCATTGATGTTTATAGGATTTAAAAAACTTTATGTTATATCTTAGTATAACAGCACCTACAGTCTGAAATAGCATAGTATTAATACTTTCTGTAAGACTTTAAGTTTTTTGAAGTTGTTTTTTGGTTTGAAACTTTAAGTTGATTGATAAACCCAACTTCTTTCTAGTTATCCTAGAATTTTAAGTGATGATCATTCATAAAATGAATAGGGAAAATCTTGGTAGCATCAGTACAAATTTAAGTCTATATGCTGCTAATAAATTTCTTGAGGAACAGGCCATACGTGTTGATGAAATTCTTAAATCCCTATAACATAGACACTTTTAAAGGAAAATCTGCATTTCCTTATAGCACTAATTTCAGCAAGCGCAAAATGTATATTGACTGGATGTCATACACCTTTGCTCCTTACATAAAATGATATTTGGTGTGCATTTAAAGAAAAACCATGCACTCACTGTAGTTTGCTAATGTCTTTATTTTCCAATCATTTTGCTTCACGTGTGAGTGTTATAAGAGACTAGTTGAGAAAATCTTGGAGACTGAAAGCAAGTCGATGATTTTTCAAAAAATACTAATGCAGAGGGTAAGCCCATGACTAAATAAGTCATTAGCATCTGTGTTATCATAGCTTCTTTATAAGATTGTTAACAGAATCCTTGAAGAACAAGAAAAGTAGAAGAAGGAAGATAGACACTGTGCTAGTAAGTTTATAATCATTATCTTATTTGATCCTCTTAGCATCGCTGTGATGTGGATGCTGATATCCCCATTTTACAGATGAGATATCTGAAGAACAAGATTTTAAATTGTGTACTAGTTCTCACAGACAGATAATAAGTAGGCAAATTAGAATGTATGTTTATCAGGCTCCAAAGTTTGAACTTTGTGTTATTGTATTACATTACAGCCCTATGCTGGGCTTGTATTTTTACCTAGATGATACAATACTTGTTCAGACAATACTGCATTATCCCTGGCAAATTCCAGAAGTAGTAAGAAATTCAGTACATCAGAAAGCATACAGGAGTAGAAAGAAGTACTGTTAAAAAATAAGAGACTAAGGCCAAATGTAAAGAACTTTACATGTAAAGTTAAGGACTTCAGACTTTACCCTGAAGGCCAAGGATTCACACATTTTAGTGTGCATGAAAATCCTCTGGAGGGCTTGGGCCCTATCTCCAGAGTTCCTGATGAACTTGTGACTAGTAAGGAAAACTTTAAGGCTCTCTCAAAATCTTTAGCTTGAGGGTAAGATAGATCATGAAGTTACTAATAAAGACTGGAGGAAGCTGTAAAACATGCTAAAGTTTTGTTTTTGTTTTTGCCCTTTTCAAAAAAAACTTATTAAACTTGGAATGTTTTAAAAACAACAGATGGTGATGACCAATGGGGAATTGTAAGCAGATCTGGGACTCAAGAGTGAGGTCAGGGGCAAAGACACTGATGTTAAGAGTCAATAGCACAGAAATGGCTTTTCAAGCCACAGGCATGCATGAAACACCTCGGAGCTTCAGAATAAGAAAAGATAACTGAAGTTTGAACATGTGGGGAGAAATCATTATTTACAGGATGTGCAGAAAAACAACACTCATTAAAGAAATAGAGAAAGGAACTCAGAATTCTAAGACAAATAAAAGACCAAAGGTAGACTATGGCCTCTGAAACTAAGGACAGGAAGAATTTTGAGAGAGACTGTGGTCAACAGTATCAAACAGTTTTCTGAGAGTTAGTGAGTAGATTCCATTTTTTATTAAAAGGACAAAAGTATAAACTCTTTCATTAACTTGTGTTCTAGTGGTTCCACTGATCTGGAAATATGAATTAAGGCTCTAAAATAAGAAGCAGTAGCGTGCTTACAGTCTAACATACAGTGATAGGAAATTATTGTTAGTCAAGTGCCATAGATGTGGAAACTGAAATTTAGAGAGCTCTAGTGACTTGCCCTTAATCATCATACAGCTATAGCTGAATCAGCATGGAATGGAGTCTTCTGACTTACCAACAAACTCTGGTAAGTATTACGCATTAAAACAAACTCCAAAACACTAATAAAGGAATGCTAACCAAGGTCTCAATTTTTGTCTTACCATCTGTGAAACAGGCTTCTGGCTCATCGGAATTCATAGGTTCAGCCTCTGCTTCTTCTCCTTCTCCAGGGAAAGGGTTATCAACTGTGCTGCACTCTGAGGAGCTTGATTGGTTTAATCTCTAGAAAGGAATTTACCACCCCACCAGGTAGTTCATTTAGAGTTCATTCAAATCTGGTATTTAAGCCTTATTTAATAATCAGACTCATGCAAAGTATTATGAAAAAAAGATTAATAGTATGATGGCCATAAAAATGTATAAACACATATTGAGGTCAAGTAACCTTAAATGTATCTATACTTGATCTTTCTATCTACACCATCCTGTAAAATAATAAACTTTATTATGTTTATTACAGTAACAGTTATGTGGCCAAAATTAGATAAGGTAATATATTGATGTTAACTATCACTTTTGGAAAGTATTGGCCACATCTTACTTTTTTTAAATTTTTAATATAAATTTATGGACACTGACAATCATTATTTGAGGACAACCTATACCCTATTTGCAATATAATACAAGTGTGAAATTACTAATGCCTGATAATTGAAAGCTCAGATCAAATAGTTGGCAAAAAACTTAATAGTTAAAATTTTTTAAAAAGATGAGTTCAAGATAAAGTCCAAATGTACTTTTTATTATCTCTTGGATTTAAATACATGTAGTAGGACGATATAGATAGAAGTTCTTTGATCAAGACCACAAAATCAAATATGGTTTTGAAATCAAAATGCCAATGACCATACCAACACTACCTATTTTGTATATAACATTTTAGTGCATCGTAGAAAAGATTAAACAGTATTATTTATAATGTAAAGAAAGTGGCTACTAAAGTAAGCACCACATGCAAACTCTGAAACAAAGACTGAAGAAAATTAAACATGGCAGACTTACACATGGAGTAATGAATTCATTGTCATTATGATCATATAACTGATCATAACACAAATAGGTTTTTCCCACCCAGAGCTTTATGAGTAACCATGATGTTTACACATACACACACACGAATAAATCTTTACAAAAACTACATACAGCAATTGTAGCAAAACTCTGTCAAATTTCCCAAATATTGTTTTATAAAGGAGTAAAGCAGCATATCAATGGAAGAATTAATTTTTCATTCTCATTTGCTAAATGACACGTGAATATTGGAAGCTGCTAGTTACTACAACACGATTCTCTTATTAAGTTACAACTTTATCTTTTTCAGAGTAGTTCAAGCAAGTGCAAGTGCTAAAAATAATAAAGTACTTATTTCAGATAAATTGATTCTTGATCTATGAATCTGTATTAATATCATAGGCCCAATCCAAAGGTTTGATTTTTAGAGATTGACTTGGAAGCTAGAAGTATTCTTGATGGGTACCACATTAAATTCTCAATGCTATTATTATCACCTAGTATACAACATCATAAAAATGGCATTGATAAAGTATTGTATGTACATAAGGAATGATGTAAGCAGACCAAGTCTTTCTTATAACTGGAGTAAAGAATTATGAACAAACTGTTAAGTGAACTCCTCTAGTCTACGTTGGCCTAGAGGCATTATTCCCACCAGGTCCATGAGTTTGATGACAGTATCAGTTATGAAAGTGTTAGTACACAATTTCACTCAAAAACAGGTTCTTTAAATGGATTGAATTCATCTAAATTAGTTTAATCTAAAATTAGAAAATAGAAATTAATTATAACTGAATATTCTATAAAACTATAGAACAGGTTTTAAAATAGAAACTATAGGATGAGTTTTAAAGTATATATGACAAGTTTTAAAATATAGATTAATCCAGGAAATGATATTGGATAAACTTATAATTACTAATATGTATTTTGTGCCAATTGCCACAAAATCCAAAGTACCATATTTAGAAGACTACAGTTTGAATGGCTTCAATTCTTGACCTCTCGGCTGCACGTGAACTATCATCAGGGAACTGAAAGACACGGCCCTATTATTCTGTGAAGTTAAGACCAAGTCCTTCAATTCTGAAAAAAGAATTATTGGCCTGGGTTTTGAGGTAAGGCAGTGGGAGGAATTGCTGATAGAAAGAATACAAATCACCTCCCTGCTATTAGACACAATATTAACAATAGGAAATAGTTATAATTGTTTTCTCTGAGCTGGTAACAACTTTTAAATAAAATGATTCTTATTTGCAGAATTCTGACTTAGGCTAAATTCATGAAAGCATCTTCAACATCAGTAATTGGTTCTCTCACTGTTTAAGAGAGCATTAACAAAGATTTATGCCAAATTAGTTTATGAGCAAGTAAAAATTCCAGTGATTTTACGTAGTGTATCTTGCCATTGAAACTTTTTTTTTCACATGCAGGTTTTATATTTTTTTATGGTCAATTGAATTCAGCTTGGCGCATAATTTTATGTCATAAATTAAAGTTATTAAATATTATTGTTTAATGGGTCAGAAATTATCAAAATATTTGATATGAACTATTATTAATTAATTTGTATTTATAGTCAAATTATTATGGCTAATAGAGTCTTACACATTCAGGGTTTTCTTGGGAATGCATTAAGTATTCAAACAGTAACTATTTCAATACTGTATATAAAATTAAATATTTATATGCACACTTTAGCAATCTGGACAGTTCTAATCAATTTGACCTTTGAATTCTACACTTGCTACAGTATAAGGTTCTTTAGCAGAGTTCTAAGAGAATACCTTTATATAGAAAGGCTGATATATATAATAAAGTTTTTTTCCTGTGGTGAAATATATTGAATTCTCACAGTAAGCATCACCATATTTAAGTACTATATAAGGAAGATCATATCAATTATTTGTATTATTTTATATGATTATTTTCTATATTTCATTTCTTTAAACTCAATCATCTGTTGTTTAGTTTTCCAAGTAATTTTGGAAATGAAAGAATGACTATACTATATTAGAGAAGTGAAATAAATGCTTTAGTATGAAAAAATTTTCTTTTGCTATTATAAATAGGACCTTCTGTAATTTTCACATGGATTTGATTTCTAATAAAAGGGAAATATCAATTTTTTATCATTGGCAGTCTACTTATAAATAAAATAAATATAAATGTAAGCATAGGATCAAGAAGGTGGACTCATTAGTATTAGGAATCAGAAGTGTACCATAATTAGCATTCCTGCCTTTTCATTGAATAATATGATATTGACTGTAAGTGCCTTCTAAAAGTGTCTTTTTAAAAATATGAAAGTGATACAGTTGACTCAAACATTTTAAATGTATAATATTTACAGTGCAAAATTAAACTTTCCTCCACTATCTCCTTGATTCAACCCCCTTGAGGTAATCAAGAGAGAGAGAAAGAGAGGGGAGAGAGAGAGAGGAAAGAGAGAGAGAGAGGAAAGAGAGAGAGAGAGAAATTGGCATATCTTTCCATATTTTTCAGTGTGCATCCATACAACACTATAGCTGTGAAATAATCCTTATCTTGATTGTAAACTTATGTAGCTATTTAAGATGCTCCTTTCAATTACTGAAAATATGTTCAAATTAAAAGCTTTATTATTCTTCATGGTTTTCCCTTTGATTGCCTTGAAGCTGTGTTTTCTACTATACTGCTTGAGTAGAAATTATGTTAAATATATGTATCACATTAGAACATGTCCTAAGTTGTTCACTTACAAATTTATCACTGGCATTTCCTAAGATAAACATTAACAATGTAAGCCTATTTCATGCTATCATGGATGGTGGTTAACGCTATTTAGTTAATTATTGTTCCAAGAGGTGTGAAGTAGGAATATCTAATGACTTGATAATCTAACGCTCAAAAGAAGAAACTATCAAACATATAGCGGCACTGTACAAAACACAGAACTCAACAAAAACCTTACTCAAAGAGAATGATTGATGCTGAAAAGAACCTAAAAGTGTTACATTTAAAGTACATACTATAAATTGTTTGCTTCACACAACAAAAAAAGATATTCTTTAAGGAGCAGAGCCTAGAATGGTTATTTCACCTGAGCCTTAAAATACTCACAAAAGACAGTAAGAAAGTTGAGAGAAGAAAATCAAAAGGAGGAGATGGGTATAAAAGAGAAGAAAAATTATGGCAGACATTCATGGTAAACTAAGCGCCATTATCTGTTAATAAGCAAGAAAGACATTTTAAAATTAGTTTCAAGTCACTGTTATTCATCTTTTAATTTAACGGCATAGTTTTACCATCAATATCTACAATTGTGTTCTTGAATCATTAAGGAGTAAAATAGTAAAGTTCGATTAAAGGATCAAAGGACCCTTTGAGAAGAATTCCACACATAGTTACTATGTGGCATAAGAGTCCAATATTTTCCAATTTCCCATTATGTTACAGGATAACTAGTTGTTTAAATACCCTCTTCTGGTGCAGAACCAAGATAACCTTTCTTTTCTCTTGCAATTGTTCAGGGCCTTTATTTTTTTCCTTCTGGAGAAGTGAAAAAAAGTGTGAACATTGTCCTTTTATAGAGTTTTTAAAATTGGAGGTCATTAATATTATTGATATTACTATTTGTGACTTTCATCTTGAGTGTAATGACATTTCTTAACATGATTTAGATTTCTGGGCCCCTCAAGGTCTCTGCAATATTGTTTTTGATATGAAATTTCTCAAGATTCTTTTTGAAAGGTAATGCCTCAAGTTAAAAAATAACTGAAGCTCAGGAATTTCAGGAAAAAATGGAAATAATTTAAAAATACTCCAGATATTATTGATCAGTGGAAAACTCAACTGTATTTTCTTCTGTTGTCTAAGTTTTAATGTTACTTTCACTAATTTAGCAGAAAATTGTCAGTTTATTAACTAGTTGCAATAAATTCTGGGCTCACATTCTAATTATGGACAACTAAAACGTTACCTCTTTTTTTAAAAAAAAAGGCAATAAAACCGATTTTTTTCCTTTCCTATTTTTCTTTGTCTATTGCTAGCAGAGAAATATCGTGTAGGCTCTGGGAGGAACAGCTACTCATTCAGCATGAAACACACAGTTCCATCACAAGGTCAACATGCTATATAGTATTCTGTTGGTGAAATAATGAGGTCAAATCTCAGCCACCACCAGAGAAATTCAAAATAAAACCAATGATTTCACGGAGAGCTCTTCTTTTTCTCAGAATCTTCTACCTAGGGCACTTTCTATCCAATAACATGAACACTTACATGACTAAATGATAAGATATGAATATTTTAAAAATCATACAAAAGCAACAACACTTGGCCATATAAGAAGGCTGGACTGGCTACAGATTTCTCAGCCAGGTCCTATAGTATCATCTGGAAGTATTTTTCTAATGAAAAGAACAGAAGCATTTACTAGTAAGAGCTAGGAGTGTAAAGTGGCCATTGATATTCAAGGGTTGTCTCTGTGCTCTGTCACAGAACTTGTCAGGCCTCTGAGCCCAAGCCAAGCCATTGCATCCCCTGTGACTTGCACCTATAGGCCCAGATGGCCTGAAGTAACTGAAGAATCACAAAAGAAGTGAAAATGCCCTGCCCCGCCTTAACTGATGACATTCCACCACAAAAGATGTGCAAATGGCCAGTCCTTGTCTTAAGTGATGACATTATCTTGTGAAATTCCTTTTCCTGGCTCATCCTGGTTCAAAAAGCTCCACCACTGAGCATCTTGTGACCCCCAACTCCTGCCCGCCAGAGAACAACCCCCCTTTGACTGTAATATTCCTTTACCTACCCAAATCCTATAAAACGGCCCCACCCTAATCTCCCTTCACTGACTCTCTTTTTGGACTCAGCCCGCCTGCACCCAGGTGAAATAAACAGCCATGTTGCTCACACAAAGCCTGTTTGGAGGTCTCTTCACATGGAGGCGCATGACAGAACTGCTATACTGTTTGCAGAGAAAGCAGCTGGAACACAGTGGGTCAAGTCAGAGTATCTTAAAATCTTTAGAAGCAAACATTTAGACAATTTTACTATTCATGCCAGCTTTAAAAAATGCAACATGTAGGTAAAGAAGGATTAGAACCTTAGCAAACACAAAGGCAAAGTGTAGATACTCAGACTCAAGCTTTGTAAATATTATCTATAATTTTAAAACAAGCAAGAATGACAAACACAAAGTAAGCTACCTAGATATCTGAATCATTTCTGTTAACCACTAATACTACCCACAATGAAGGAGGGCAAGGAAAAGTGAATTTTAATGAGCTGAATAATTACTAGTTTTTTAAACATGTGGATTTCTAATATTGAAAATATAATGTAAATAGAAATTTTACATGAATAAAATAACTCTATCCCTTATGTAAGCAACTTTTGCTAAAGTGCCATATTTCAAGTTATTCTTAACTGAATATTCAGTTTTTTCTTGATTAAGAGGATGACTATTTACAACATGTGCCTCATCTTTTCTAATAGCTTGGTAAAAAAGTAATAATAATTTACGAATTCAAAACATATATATGCATATGTTTATATGTCTATGCATGTATATATAGTTCTAGAAATAGCTTTCTCAAAAATTGTATGTTTTATCTATACCTATATAGATAATATTGGACATATATGCATCCTTATTTAGGCTCTAGTTGAAGAAAATTCACCATATTCTGGAATAAAATAGTTTTCTATGAGTATATTGCCTCTAAATCCCCACCAAATTTGAAATAGAAAAATAAATCTTTCACTTAGGCCACCTTTAAGATTATCTTTGAATAAACTGGAACACAAAAATAACTAATTTTTCATTTGAAACTGCAATGACACACCCTAGGGTGTGTCAATTTCAGGATAAAGTTTTGCTTTCATCATTGCACAAAAGATAACAATAATACAAACATCTCAACAATGACAGAGAAATTCAAAATATGAACTAGATTATAAAAAATAGTTAAAATTCTTATTGACAGAGATTCCTTCCCCCATCCTAGTACTATTAAATTTCATTCAATAAGTTATGCTAAAATTAAAATATATCTTAGTATGTATTTTTAATACCTTTTAGAAATATTCAATAAGGCAATACATATTAATCTGTATCTAATTTCAGTAAAAGTCTTCTATGTGTTATTGATAGATAGGTTTAGTGTTCACTTCATAATGTGCTCTATCTAAACCTCTTAGTTTCTAGAGGCCGCTCTGATTAGGTATGTAATCAGAAACTTATTCTCATCAATGAGTAATATTACTTCTGGAATAAAATTAAACATTTTGAACACGTATCACTTATTCATTCATAGGCAAGGCCTATCAACTTTTAACTGATGCATTTTATAGAGGAGGAAATAAAATCAAATTAATTACTGAGTTGATTTAAAAAAAATAAAGTCTCATAACTAACAGTGCTTAAAACCATTTCAAAATGTATTCAAAGTTTATACTAGAAGCAGGGTACTTTGGCTCTGACCCCAACTTTCTAGATGTGTACTAAGAAAGCATGAGTCTCAATTTACTTATCCATAAATATACAGCTAGAACTACAATGATCCTTTCCTGCTCGAGATTTTATATTTATGCCAGAAACATTTCTTCCACAATTTTTTAGAGTTTTGATCTACTTAATTTAAATGTGACAATTTAATGTGATAAACATCTCTATATTTTTATGTAGATTTAATCAGGAAGGGAAGTTGATAGAGGTTTTCAAATCAAATGTTGCTTCAATGGCTACTGTTACATTCTGCATTTTACTTTTATAATCAATTCAATAAAAATCTACAGATCATGCACTTGAAATCACTTAAGCACATGAAGGTTACATCAAAGAAGTCATCAAGAGAATCACAAAAAATATAATAGAATTGTCCTGGTGACGTGCTGTGATGTCGCTTTATCTATTGAGCAACTGTATATGTTTCTACTCTCTTGCAATGGGTCAGGCAGAAAGATTTTGTAGCTGAACAGCATGCAAGACATTGAAAAAATATCGTATGTATGATTTTTTTAGGTAACCTGTGTAAAAGTGGTGACATATGTCTCTGCCTGGTTAAAAGCACAGAGCTGCATCCTTGATTGATCCAGTTTGATTTTACTCCTGTGAGAAGTAAGAAGGTTAGGTACTGAATTTTAGAAATGCAGCATGATGAAAGAGTTTAGTCAACTGTGTTTTAAAATGTTTAAAGTCATATACCTATAAGTAGAAATTAGTTACATATTTGAAAGTACATGCTATATACTCAACGTTAAGCAATATATTGGAATCACAATACTAAGATTAAATGTCATTCAACAGAGACTTTAAAACAATTAAACAGTTACATAATTCTATTATTTAGGAATTGAATTTACTATAATGTGCTAATGCAATGTTTTGCATTCTATTTTTCCTTAAATGCAAGCAACATTTAAATATAAGTGATTCTCAGTATAGGGGGTGAAGTGGGAGTAAGAGTAGGCAGCTTTAAAAAGCATATTCTAAAATTAGCATGTCTTGATTGACTTTTATTTTTAATTAATTAATTTTGACATTTTAAACAGCATTGCAAAAAAGTGAAGTTTCCAAATTTATCAAAATAAAGAGAACAAGACACATTGATTTGAATATGTCAGACAAATATTTCATTGTTTTTAGGCACATAAACAAATGAAGATGGAAAGATTTTTCAAATTCTTTGGAAACAACCTGAAAAAAAGAAATGGTCTAAGTGCAATTCTACAGAAGAGTGCTTTTTAAAAAATCCATGCATAAAAAATACAATCAAATGCCAGTTTTACCCAACAGCATAACTGTAACTAATCCCTAAATTTTTCAAAGTCAAATGCATTTTAAAAAGATTATTACATTTTCTAAAGTGTAGTAATAAGCAGAACATAAATCTAAATTAAGGAAAAAACTTTGATTAAAAAATCTAACGAGAGAAAGTCTTGATAACAATGTAATTAAAACCACCACATAGTAAAAGGACATTAAATATTTAACTTTGAGAACTGCAAATATTGAAACAACTTTTTATCAAGTCAATAAAATGACTACATTTCATAATAATAAGCATATGTAAGTCTCTCTAAAGATAATGACTTTGTAAACTGAACACTGAATAGATGAATGGGTGGATAGACGAATGAATGAGTGAATCAGGTGAACAACATGAATGCTCGTTCCTCTGCCTGAGATTTCCTTCTGTACCACATCTGCCCAGTGAAATTCTCTCCATACTGTAAGGTCTGGCTTAAGTGCCACCTCCTTTCATGTGAAGTCAGCCTGATATAGCCCCTTACTCAATGCATCCTCAATGGACTAGTTTAGTGTCCTGTTATGGATTGTGCTTTGCTTTGTTCTGTGTTATAATTTTTTGTGTATTTATCTAAAGTACAACTATTAGACTGTAAACTTTTGTTGTCAATGATCAATGACCCTTTACCTTTGAAGTACATGAAGTTTTTAGTGTGGTTTTTGGGGGACTCAATATTTATAGGGGGTCAAAAATATTTCATGAGTGTAATTTAGGAGAGAAAAACTCTATGCCTATTACAATCCTGGGCAGATAGTCATAGAAAATGTTAATGTGTTCTCTACTATGCACAAATACAAAAAATAAAATATCTGTGTTCAGTAACATATTTATGTAATTAAGAAATAAGATTATACAGGTAGAATAAAGTTTATATTTTACTTATGTCTTTATACTATGTTGAGCCACGTGAAATTTCTACTTTTTGCATATTAAAAATGGTTAGATATTTAGTTTTTTATTATTTAACTTAATATATTCTTATTTTCATATATACTAATTCAGTAAATAAAAATTAAATTTTGTTTCTTGGTAATTTTATACAATATGTTTCAAAGTATAACATTATAGTTGATGCACATTATTCCAAACTATGCCTAGTAACTAAATCTCTTAAAATAGAAAATTACCATCTTTCAATTCTTTTGACATTTTCATAAAGGAATAATAATAATTAGTAGCAGTAATAATATTGGAGAAGCATGTCTGACCTTGTTAATGTCTTCCAATGTATCTTACTAAGATAATCCAGATTTTATTCAGGGCAGCAATATGCCTGGATAAATGTCCTGCCTCAGCCAGGCTTCCTTGTTGTTAGGGGTGGTCATGTCACACTGTTCTTGCCAATAAGACATAAGCCAAAGTTGGATAAGGATCTCTGGGAAAGTTTTGCTTTTCCTCAGGCAAGTGGGATAGTCATTACTTCTGCTTCTGTCTATTTCTTTCTCTTTCCTACCTGAGTATTGGATATAAAGCTGTAGGTGGAACAGTCACCTCTAATTATAGGCATTAAGATAGAAGAAAAAACACATAAGAAGACTGGCAGAAGGGAGAAGAGATGGAGCCTAGGACATGGAGGCCACGTGGACTGCTGATCTGTGGAAGTTTTAAAATGTGAAAATAGAATGCTCTATCCACTTATGCTGATATAGTTAAGTCTCTGTTGCATGCAGTTAAACAGAGTCCTGACCCCGAAATAGCCAAAAATAACGTAATACAAAAAAAAAAAAATAGG